CCTAGGGATTCCTAAGGTATCCTTGGGCATCCTTAGGAATACATAGGAATCCTTAGGAAACCTTAGGAAACCTTAGGAATCCTGATTCCTAGGGATTCCGAGGGATTCCTAAGGATTCCTAGGGAAAACTTAAGGATTCCGAAGGATTCCTGAGGATGCTTAACTATGCCTACGGATTCCTAAGGATGCCTACGGATTCCTAAGGATTCCTAGGGATTCCTAAGGATTCCTATGGATTCCTACGGATGCCTCAGCCTGCCTCAGTTTCAGCCTCAGCCTCAGCCTGCCTCGGCCTGCCTCAGCCTCAGCCTCAGCCTGCCTCGGCCTCAGCCTCAGCCTGCCTCAGCCTCAGCCTCAGCCTGCCTCGGCCTCAGCATGCGTCAGCCTCAGCCTCAGCCTGCCTCAGCCTCAGCCTGCCTCAGCCTCAGCCTCAGCCTCAGCCAGCCTCGGCTTGCCTCAGCGTCAGCTTCAGCCTGCCTCGGCCTCAGCCTGCCTCGGCCTCAGCCTGCCTCAGCCTCCCCTCCTCCCCCCCTCCCCCCCCTTCCCCCCCACCATTCAGCCTACCTGTCCTCAGCTTCGGCCTGCCTCCGGCACATCCTTCAGCCTCAGCCTCAGCCTCAGCCTCAGCCTGTCTCGGCCTGAGCCTGCCTCGGCCTCAGCCTAGCTTGCTCGCATGCATCAGCCTAGCCTCAGCCTCAGCCTCAGCCTGCATCGCCAGCCTCGACTCAGCCTCAGCCTGCTCGGCCTCAGCCTCAGCCTCAGATGCCTCAGCCTCATGCTCAGCCTGCTCAGCTCAGCTGCTATCAGCTCAGCTCAGGCCGCCTCAGCGCAGCTTGCCTCAGCCTCAGCCCCAGCCTCAGCCTCAGACCAGCCCCCCCGGCCTGCTCGGCTTCAGCCTCAGCATCAGTCTGCCTTCAGCCTCGGCCTCAGCCTCAGATGCCTCAGCCTCAGCCTGCCTCAGCCTCAGCCTCAGCCTCAGCCTGCCTCAGCCTCAGCCTGCATCAGCCTCAGCCTCAGCCTCAGCCTCAGCCTGCCTCAGCCTCAGCCTCAGCCTGCCTCAGCCTCAGCCTGCCTCAGCCTCAGCCTCAGCCTGCCTCGGCCTCAGCCCGCATCAGCCTCAGCCTCAGCCCCCCTTCCCCCCCCACCCATTCAGCCTCACCTTGTCTCAGCTTCGGCCTGCCTCGGCCTCATCCTCAGCCTCAGCCTCAGTCTCAGCCTCAGCCTGTCTCGGCCTGAGCCTGCCTCGGCCTCAGCCTCAGCCTGCCTCAGCATCAGCCTGCCTCGGCTTGCCTCAGCCTCAGCCTCAGACTGCCTCGGCCTCAGCCTCAGCCTCAGCCTGCCTCAGCCTCAGCCTCAGCCTCAGCCTCTCAGCCTCAGCCTCCCGCCTCAGCCTCAGCCTCCCGCCTCAGCCTCAGCCTCAGCCTGCCTCAGCCTCAGCCTCAGCCTCAGCCTCAGCCTCAGCCTGCCTCGCCTCAGCCTGCCTGCCTCAGCCTCAGCCTCAGCCTGCCTCAGCCTCAGCCTGCCTCGGCCTGAGCCTGCCTCAGCTCGGGCATTCAAAATATTGCACAGGACCTGTGTTCTGGGAACACGAAGAACACGAAGTGGCCTACAGTTGGCTCCGGGCATTCAAAATATAGTACAGGAATGGTGTTCCGGGAACACGAAGAACACGAAGTGGCCTACAGTTGGCTCCTGGCATTCTAAAATGTGGCCTGGGAATGGTGTTCTGGGAATGGATTCCAAAGGATTCCTAAGAATTCCTAAGGATTCCTAAGGATTCCTGGGGCTGCGGGTTTTGTCCGGTTTTGTCCGGATCCCGCCCAAACCCCCCTGGGGCGTCAAGATGTGCTCTCTTTTGACACCACTAGAAACCTATCAGCAAAGGCTGTTAGGTCAAAAGATCCTGCCGGGGCTCGATCCAGCTGCAAGCGCATCCTGCTAGGGCTCGATCATCTTCGTCGTCGAAGGCGTCCTCGATGCTGTCGTCGTCGTCGTCGTCGTCGTCGTCGTCGTCGTCGTCGTCGTCGTCGTCGTCGTCGTCGTCGTCGTCGTCGTCGTCGTCTTGACCGACTTCGTCTCCGTCGTCGTCGTCGTCGGCGAGGTCGGCGTCGTCGTCGTCGGCGTCGTCATCGCTGGCGGCGTAGGCGTCGGCGTCGGCGTCGGCGTCGGCGTCGGCGTCGGCGTCAGCGTCGGCGTCGGCGTCGGCGTCGGCGTCGTCGTCGTCGTCGTCGCGGCAGCGGCGGAGGCAGCGGCGCGGCGGCGTCGTCGTCGTCGTCGTCGTCGTCGTCGTCGTCGTCGTAGTCGTCGTCGTCGTCGTCGTCGTCGTCGTCGTCGTCGTCGTCGTCGTCGTCGTCGTCGTCGTCGTCGTCGTCGACTTCGTCGACGACGTCGTCGTCATCGTCCGTCGTCGTCGTAGTCGACGTCGTCGTCGTCGTTGTCGTCGGCGTCGACGTCATCCTCATCATCGTCGTCATCGTCGTCGTCCGTGTCCGTCGTTGTCGTCGTCGTCGTCGTCCTCATCGTCGTGGTCCTCATCGTCGTCGTCGTCCGCGTCGTTTGCTGGCGGCGGCGACGTCGTCGTCGCTGCTAGGGGGGGAGGGGGGGCCGGACCCCTCCAATCATTTACTGGCCGGGGGGAAGTTTCAGGATCCCCCAAATAATATTCCCCTTGGGCGAAGGAGTTCGGGAACCCCCCCTCCCCCCCTGGTTGTTTCTAGGGGGATGAGTTGAACAGCCCCCCTGCCCGCAGCGGCAGAAAACGCTCCTTCAGATGTCCTAGAGTGACCGGAATAGAGAGGTCCCAAGGGTGTCACAAACGGTTCCAAGAGACCTCCCAGAGGCGGAAATGTAAACCCGAGAAATCCAAAATCGTCAGACCCCGCTGGTTTTTGAAGAATGTCAGCTTCTTCGAGTTTTCGGCTCAACATGACTCGGAGAAGGCTTCAGAGGGTTTCGAGATGGCCCAACAAGACGGCCCCAACAACGGCCCAAATGAGCCCAAAATAGCCCCAAGGGGCCCCCGAGACGGCCCAGGAGGACCGCTGGAGAGGACCCAGACGGCGCATGGAAGCGTTCTGCCGAAGAGTAATGCAAGATAACTCCAAGAAATAATCGCAAAGAACAAAATAAAGCCAAGCAGCAGGGGAACATTTTATGTGATTGAACAAATGTTCCCACCCAATACGCTTCCACGGAGGCCCGTTCCACTGCATGCTTCTACACTGCCCTCATTCTAGCAACTGCCCTTGCAATTCTTTATGGATGGGGGCTGATGGGGATGCGCGAAGCGTCAGCCCAAAATATCCCCAAGAGGCCCACAAGACAGCCCAGGAGAGCCTCTGGAGAGGACCAGCGGCGAGCGAGGGGGGAAAATGAGAAGGAGAAGGCCTTCTGAGAAGTTTTCCGGGTCTTCAGGGAAGGCTTGGAAAATTTCTCAGAAGGCCGGGGGCCTTTCGAGCCCTCTGAGAAGGCCCGCCCCTTCTCACTTCCCCCCCTCGCCAGCCGCGGAACGGGGCCAGGAGGAAGGTGTAGAAGAAGAAACAACTACAACCATAGATATCATCAACTTCCGGAGGTCCGCGAGGATCAACGCAAAACGCCCCGCTCGCCGCGGCGAGGACCCAGGCAGCGTCCTGAGGCGTCCGGCAGTGTCCCGCGCGAAGGCCGTGCTTGACCGGGGGGCAGAATGGCGGGCCGCGGACGCCCAGACCGCAGCCAGGGCCCCCTCGGGCCAGCGGAAGGAGCGGGCTGCGGGGAGGACCCCATGAGGGGCGTCTAGCAAACAAGCGCGCTCCACGACTCGCAGAGTAACTACTCGCACATGGCCTGGATCCGCCGCGGGAGACTTACGATCCATTACGACGAGACGAACATGTGCTTCCGGACGTTTGCGAGTAGGCAGTTCGCGAGTAGTGGAACGCGCTCGGTGATCTAGGGCTCTGAGGAAGGAGGCGGATAAAGCAGATTGGGTTGAGGCCCTCCCAGGGAATCCGCCGGCCCCCTTGTGGGGCCACCAGGCTGTAGGCGCGTGATTCGCAGTTTCCTGTACCAGTCGTAGGTTGTAGTTTCCAGTGTTACAGTTCTGCTTCTTGCTGGTTACTGTAACTAGTTGACTTCTTGCTGGTTACCGTAACTAGTTGATTGACCGCGCGAGGGGGAGGCCCAAACAGAATCTTTAGCCTCACCTGGGCGCGTTGTCTGAATTGCTGGGGGGGCTCGAAATCGACACCCCTCACGCAGATCCGCGGGGTCAGGGTCCAAAAACACAGAGATTTGCCACATTCCTGAAAGTCGGTGCCACCCCTCACGCAGATCCGCGGGGTCAGGGTCCAAAAACACAGAGATTTGCCACATTTCTGAAATTCGGTGCCACCCCTCACGCAGATCCGCGGGGTCAGGGTCCAAAAACACAGGGGATTTGCCACATTTCTGAAATTCGGTGCCACCCCTCACGCAGATCCGCGGGGTCGGGGTCCAAAAACACAGGGGATTTGCCACATTTCTGAAATTCGGTGCCACAAGGCCTCATGACTTAGCTCTTCCATGGCCCATTCTCCGAGAGAGGGGGCCGGCGGCAGGGGGCGAAGCCCTTACGGATAAAAGAACACAACAGAAACATACTGGCTCTTGAAGTAGCAAGGCGCTTGAAGTAGATTATGATCTGAGAGTCCCAAAATACCTGCTTCAAGGACTAGCGTGCAAATACGAGACGTGCGTAGGTAGGTAGAGGATTGCCCAAAACTATCCTTACAGACCATCATGCGGGGATCTCACACGCCATACCTGGTTGGGCGGCGGATCGCTTCGCTCACTCCGCCGGCCAACCCATCGTGGCTAGGACGTGGACGCGAGGCCTATGTTCGAAGTTTCGTGGAGTCTGTCGGGAGGCCTCTTGACGGCATTTCGGGAGGCCTCTTGGGGCCTGGAGGGTTTTCAGTGCCGTCTGGGTGCCTCTTGGGGCCATGTGCTCTGGAAGGGGGCTTCTTGTGGGCCTCTTTGTTCAGTTTTTGTGCCACGACGATGGCATGGCACTGGCACGCAACTAGCACAAAGCCCGGGTTGGTCTCTGTGAACTCAGCGTAAACTTTGAGCCCCAGCTGGGCAGCCAGCTAAACTCGCCTGCTGGACAGCTAGAGCCCAGGAACTGGCGGAATATCCTAAATGAATTCTACCAGCCCATATCCGCCGATCCTTAAAATCAGGTCTTCATGGCCCTGATGGCCTGGCAAGACGCCCGACTCAGCGGTGACCCCCGCGCCCGACTCAGCGGTGCGGGGGTCTCCCGCCGCGCCCGTCTCTCGGCATCGTGGAACAGATGCAACTGAGCTGCAACGCCAAAGATGCTTAGCGCCGACATCGCTTCATGCAACGCCAGGCGATAAAATCGCTGTTCCAAAAAAGTGCCTATTCACGATCACCCTGCTCCAGAATCGTATGCCAGCGGCATCCTGGTCAATCATCGTCACCTCATGCACGAGCATCCTGGCTCGGTCCACCCGTAGTTCTGCCCCACCGACGACATGGCATCCCCCACTCCCATGCCGTTGTTGACGAGAGTCTGTACCCTGTCGGCGCACGTCGGGCAATTGCCCGGGCTGTCCCCAGGCCCGCACGCGTCGTTGGTGGCGCACGAGCCCGCGCAGGCGTACGACTTCATGCCACCCACGCATACTTCACCAACCACGCACTGTATGCCCGTATTGCCGCAGTAGCAGCTTTCTGGCGGAGAAGACAGGCATCCGCACCCTGGCTCAGTCCACCCGTAGTTCTGGCCTACCGACGACATGGCATCCCCCACTCCCATGCCGTTCTGGACGAGAGTCTGTACCCTGTCAGCGCACGTTGGACAAGAACCCGGGCTGTCCCCAGGCCCGCAGGCATCATTGACTGCACAAGAGCCCGCGCAGGCGTAGCTCTTCATGCCGCCCACGCACACCTGGCAAGACGCGCATGTCTGCCCCGTGTTGCCGCAGGCCGCACCGCTCTTGTTCTCAGTGATCAAAGCCCGCTTGCGATGGCTGAGGGCCAACAAGCTGTCCTGGTCGCATTGCTCGTCGCCGCGGGCAGAGCCCAGCAACAGCGCCACCACAGCCACAACGCCGGGAATCGCGCGCGCCATTTCCTAATGGGAATCCGTCGCCTTCGGCAACGCAAGATCGAAGCGACAGCGAGTCTAAAAACAATGTGAACCAAAACTCGAGCCTAAATGACTACGGAGGGCCTCTTGTAAGCCTCTTGAGCCCTGCTGGAGGCCTCTTGGGGACCTATTGAGCCTTCTTGGGGAGCCTCCTTTGGCGGAGCGCACAAGGGGGTGGAGGGAGAGGGGGTTCTTAGAAAGTGGTTGCTTCTTGGAAATCGCCAGCCGTACATCTATAGATAAGACCCGCGCCTTCTAAGAAGCAGGGGCGCTTCTAAGAAGCACTCTCCCCTCCTCCCACCCCCCTCTGCGCGTGGAGGACTCCTGGGCCCTGGATTCCTGGGCCGTCTTGGGTCCCTCTTGGGCAGTCTTGGGGCCCTCTTAGGAGCCTCTTGGGCTGTCGTGAGGCGATCTTGGATGCATCTTGGGCCCTCTTGGGCGGTCAGAAGCGCGAAACGACACAAACACTGAAATCCTCCCAAAACAAATAGGAAATCAATAATGTTGGCCTCTTGGGGCCTCATGGGCTCCTCTTAAGGAGTCTGAGGCGCCTCTAGGGCCAGCTGGGGTCCACCTGGGGGCCGTCTCGAGGCCGTCTTGAGCCGTTTTCGAACGCTTTTGGCCCGAGGTCGTGGAGCCTGCCACCCGTGTGGGGCCAGCTTGGAGCGCTTCTGGACGGCGCCCTGGACGAAAACCATCTCTGAACCGAGTGTCGCGAAGTGCTGTTCTTGCAAGACCCCCAGGGGCCGCCCCGCGAGGGCGAACTGAAATTACACAAAGACCCTGAACCTATTACCAGAGATTATAGCACGCCTTTGGCTGAGAGGCAAAGAGAGGCAAAGACAGGGGGGGACTGGCATGGGGGGGAACATCGACCTGGAATCGACGATGCCATGGCCCCCCGATGGCGGATCCGCACCTTGCTGGGCGGATTGAGGCTATCGGGCCCATATCGACGATGAATGGGCGACTGAGGGTCGATGCATCACCGCCTATGCCTATCCCCCCCTATCGTTGCCCCTGATTGGCCCGTTGGACATCTGCGCCCTCCTCGCGGTCACTGCCCCCCGCTGCCGAGCGCCCACATGAAGGAAAAATGTCATCAGGGGCACGGCCCTGCAGGTTTGCACAGTCTTCGGACTCCCAGGGCCCTCCCTGGGCCCTGCGAGCTTCAAAAAGCGAATCAGGATGAGGAGCTGGTCCTAGGAAACTGCTGATGACACCCCCAGATCGAAGACGTCGAGCGACGCCTACCTGGCCACACACGCCTCAAACAAAGAGACGGGTTCTCGACGAGGGGGCCTCTCAAGCCTGGTCGCACATGCCTCAAACAGAGACTGGTTCTTGGCTCTCCAGGAGCCATTCGAAACTGAGCCCTGGGAAAGCAAACCAGAGAGCACGTGTTTCTGAAGGCACAACGCTGCCCATGGAAAGCAAAGTGCGGTTGTGCGTTCTGCGGCCGCAGAACATGCCTCCGACAAGAATACTGCATGCAAGATGTTGCCCACTGGAAAAGTGTTGTTTGTCCTGGTCAACCTGGGACCAAGTCTATCCGCTGGCGATAACGGGAGTGACCGGAGGGGGAACGGGGGGAAAGCCTAGGAACGGCACGAATCGTGACGTGGCAAGGAGGGCTAGGGGGTCGGGGGCGCCCAGGAGGGGAAAGTGAAAATGCTTTTTCGCCGAAATGGGCTGCGGAAGATAAGCAATGAATCAATGCAACACCGCTCTGCTCCTGCTCTGCTGCACCACTACATCTATATACCTACATACCTGTCCACAGCTAGTCCGACGGAGGGGGATTTCTTCACCCCTCCTCACTGCGAGAGAACCCTTTGGATTGGCTAACAGCGCAAGCAGCCGAGAGAGGTCTTTATCTCCAACGACTACCGGTAGCAGAGCCGTGGCGATCCAGCGCGACCACCAATGCGCAGAAAGGAATAGCTAGCGCGGGGCTGCCCGCAGCCAGCTCGCGGGGGTGCGCGGGGCCACCCGCAGCCCCCTCTCAGACTGCTTTCCTGCCGGAGGGGCGCCAGGAGCAGAGCAACCTGCTTCCCGATGGGGGCGGGGCTACCCGCATCCCTGTTGCTTCCCAAGAGAGCGGGGCTATCCGCGCCCCTGCTGCTCCCCGAGAGCGGGGCTACTCGTGTCCCTGCTGCTTCGGCGTCGAGCCGCTCCTCTATTTCAGAAGCAACCCTTTGGCCGCTCTGCCGCTCCTGTACTCTTGGTGGGAACCCTTCATGTGGACGTCGATCGTCTTACGACCTAAAAGATTCGTCAGATGATCGCTCCTGTTATCGGCCGTACCGATCATTCCCAACTCCAGGCGTTGCATGACGATCCTCTCCTGCACCCACAGGTAGCGGGTCTGAACGTGCTTCAGCTCCCCAACGCCTCGGCGCGACGCGAAACAGCGCGTCGCGGAAGAGTCCGACGCCACATTGACTTTCGAGGGGACCTGCCAGTCCCCCAACAAACCTTGGATGCCTAGTCCGGCGCACGCGCCGGCGCTGATCGCGCAGTACTCGTTCTCTCCAGAGGAAAGTCCCATCACCTGCAACAGGTTGCAAGCACGCTTCACCACCTGGCCGCCGACGAAAAAGACCTGCCCGACAGGAGACCGTCGGCTGATCTTGTCGCCGGCGTTGTCGCTGTCCACCATGACCAAGATGGGCAAAGGACTGCCCCCGGCGAGGCGCTGGCCCCTGAGGAGCACCATTACTACCCGAGGCCTTCCTTTCAGGTATCTCGCCAACCTCTTAAGCCGTGCCACGTCGACATGCTTCGGGCCCTGCATGCGGTTAGTAAAAGATTCTTCACTGCATCGCCAATGTCAGCCCGATCTGGCGCCAAGGGCGACGCGCGCATGGTCGCGCTGCGGCACAGGCGGACGTCGTCACCGACGAGCGGGGGCGAGCCTAACCGCTCCTCCGATTTGGCCTCCTCCTTCAATCCAGGAACATCCAGTGTCTTAGCGGGTTCCCGTTCGAGGCCCATGTCGCGAACTATCATCTCTGCGTGCCGTGGATCTGTTTCGACCTCGAAACGCTCCTCTCCAGGGCTTCCTGTGACACGTTGAACCCTGTTCAAGAAAACTACCTCCTGCTCCTCCCCAGGACCGACTTTTGAAACGACGCGTGACCTTCAAGTCGCATTTCTTCCGCAGGGCGCGCTCGTTCTGGCCCCGGGCGCCGTCGCCGCCCATGGCGCAGAAGTCATCACCGCGCACTAAAATCCGACAATCGTCGACCTTCTTGTAGAACAGGGCCGGGTTCGCCTTCCCTGACTCGCGCCCGTCCTGCTTGAGCACTGCTGGGTAGACTCGCAGCCAGATGGCAGACGCGTCCTGGGTGCCGTATATGCTCTTCTTCAACAGTGCACAATGAACGCCGTCCTGCTCCTCCTCTGGCAGCTCCACGTACACCGCCCTCTCGGCCTGGCCGTAAAAATGTTGCACGTGATACGTCGAAGAATCTCATCCCTAGAGGCATACCCCGGTCGCTGCTCCTGTTCCGCACCATCAAGCCTCCTAGCATCTTCACTGCCTCCAGAGGCGGCATTGCTGAAAACGGCAACGCTGCAGGCAACTTGAGCCCTTCGTCTCCTTGGCCTCGCTTCTCGCGCACGACGATGCGAGACCGGCAGTTCGGTCGCTCGTCGTCGCCCTTGTTGGCGTCGAGCCACATCAAACGGATAGGCTTCGCACCAGTCACCTCCAGGCACTCCTTAAGAATCCTTCTCTCGCGCACCTCCTGTCGGCAAAGCCATCCTACCTCCTCCTCCGTGGCCTTCCTCACCATGGCTGGGTCCAGCCAACCTCCGTTGACGTCGTCCCAGTACCTCTCGCTGTCCTCCCAAAGCGATCTGCCCTGCTCGTAGGCGTCGGGCTCTGCAGGCACCGGGCTGGCCGTGGCCTCCGCCAGGCCAGAGAGGGACCCACCCTACTTCATGGCCTCCTCTACTGCTCGCAGGACGCACCGCGCCAGCATCGGAGGATGCGCTTGCGCCTTGCGAGCTACACCACCAGCCAGCAACACATTGCGATGCTGCTCTCACCCCAAGTCGCCGGGGCACCACTTCTTGAGCTCCAGCGCAAGCTCGGGCACGTTGGTCATGAATCCGGTTCGCCTCCAGATAAACCCTTGCACGCCAGGAGGGCGCTTACCTTGGCCACCAGGCTTCGCGCCCCACTTGCACATAGCTCCTCTGGCCCTCTCTCCACGGCGCCCTTCTCCAGCAGCTCCAAGATGCCCGGCGCCCCCCAGCTGCTGTCGTCGCGGGGGCGCTGCAAGAAGTGCCGCTCCCGCGCCATCGATGCGCCTCCGGTAGCTCTCACAAGCCACTTCAAGATGACGCTCGGCAAGGTTCTGCTCCTGGAGCGCCTGCCCCGTGCCCCGCTTGGGCCGGGGTGTGCCCCGTGGGTCTGCGAATGCCGTAGAAGGAGGCGAACCAATGAGGATGCGCGGATCCTCGCGCTCAAGCGTGTCGAACCATTCCTTCACGTCGCCCTTTTTTCGTAAAGTCCCAGTGCCCACCGTTCGGTTTCTCGGCCCCCATGTCTGCGCTGACCCCAGGCCTGAGACCCAGACGGCACGCGAGCGCAAAAATCAGCGGATGCGGGCACAACTCGCGAACATCTACGGCCCCCTGCTCCAAGCTCAGATGGGCAATGTCCTCCAGCTCCTCCGCCGAGAGGTCCACCTCGTTCCGGCGACAAGCGAGGACAATGCTCCTACGCTACTCGTTCCTGAATTCCTCCTTCCTCGCCCACGCCACGCTGCTCACTTCCACGTCTCCCCCCGTCGCCGCAGGCGCGGAGCCCCCCGCAGCCGCGGCGCCCGGCACCTCCGCAGACGCAGCACTGGCCCCTGCGGCCGGAGCCGAGCCCCCAGACCCTGACGACGCAGCCGGAGCGGCGCTACCCGCTTCCGGCACACCTGGCGGCAACGACACGTCCATGTCGTCGTCTGCCGCCCCCTGGCCTGCTCGTTCAGCCGACCTGCTCCTCGACCTCTCGTCGAGCCCCTGGCCCGACGGCAGCCGGCCTTCCGCGAGGCCGCTCCTCGCCGGGCGGCGGCGGC